GTGTGTGTGCACGAGCGCTCTGGCTACGTGTGTTTGTGCCATGCGGCATACTCCAGCACCACTTTTTGCCATGATTGTTCCCAGTATCGCCGGTTGACATCTTCAGGTCGTCATCCACCAGCTAATCGACTGCGTTCCCGAAATCCCACAAAAGCGTGCCCCCATGTCCGCCACTCCTCCCCACTGTCGCTGCCGCCGCCGCCGTCGCCGCCACGACCCCAGGGTGTGCTTTGCATCAGGAAGCCGTGGCCGGCCATCATGCGGACAGTGTACAAGGACCACGAGCGCTTCGAGCAGACCTACTTCAGCGCTTTCAAGGTGGGCAGGCGGCACGCAAGCATATAGTCTGAGGTACCACCTGCACGCTGCCTTCTTCGCCATCTTACGGCGTGCATCATGGTAGCAACAACGTTCAAACGTCTTTTGCCTGCGTTGCTCGGCGGCTCCGCAGCAAGCCAAAAAAGGCCTGTCGGGTTGGAGGCCACGCATGCAGCGGGCAGCCGCCCCTGGCACGGCATGGTGAGGCGTCGCAGTGCGCCCGGCCTCATCTTGCATTCATGGTAGCACCTGCCTGGCCCCCGAGCCCGCACCGCACCCACACAACGAGCAGGGTTACTACTTCACGGGCGATGGGTGCCGCCGCGACGAGCAGGGTTACTACTGGATCACCGGCCGCGTGGATGACGTCATGAACGTCAGTGGCCACAGGTGACACGACCTGGTGTTGGGAGGTTGCGCTTGTTGACGTATTGAAGCGGCTTGGGAGGCCCTTGCAATGTGCACCGAACCTGCCCTGTGGTCGGCGTGAGAGCAGCCCCTGCCATTGTCCCCCCTGGCTGTGACATCAAATGCACACAAGCAACCGCCTGATCACCTGTCCTCCTCCTAGGATTGGGACGGCCGAGGTTGAGAGCGCCCTGACCAGCCTGGACCAGTGCACTGAGGCCGCAGTCATCAGGTGGGGTCAGGGTTTAGGGCTACCGGGCTTCAGGTTCCTGGGGGGGGGGTGGCAGCGCAGTGGGAGGGGGCGCGAAGTGCGCCCTGGTCGGGGATTTTTGCAGGATCGGGCGGTGGGGCCCGATCCTGCCCATGGGGGCCCTTGCAGATGCCTTGATGGACCTGTGGCTGCGTCTGCTGGATGTGTGTGCTGAAGACCTCCTGACCCAACCACCGCGTCCGACTTGCGACGCCCGCGCCGCTGCCCCCAGCGTGCCCCACGACGTCAAGGGCGAGAGCGTGTACGCCTTTGTGACGCTCATGGACGGCGTGCCCTCGGACGACGCCATGAAGAAGGCGCTGTCGGCGGCCGTGCGGTCCCAGATCGGGTCCTTTGCCGTGCCCGACACGATTCACTGGTGAGAGGGTTTGGGCGCCTCTTTAGGAGGGGGAGGCGGCTTTTTTTCTTCAGCAGTCGTGGAGTTTCTGCTGGGCGTGCTCTCTTTGGGTTCAACTACATCACTCTGGCCGCAAGTGGGCCGGCTTTTGGGGTGGCTCACGGGGTCGCTGTTGCCTCGTAAGCACCAGAAGCGTATGCGTGCGTCCCAGCGCCCGAGGGCTCCCTCCGTCAGACACCATGTTCAGACGCCACCTTTGGCCCCTCACAAACACACACAAACACGCGCAGGGCCCCGGGGCTGCCCAAGACCCGCAGCGGGAAGATCATGAGGCGGATCCTGAGGAAGATCGCCATGGGGCGCTTCGAAGAGCTTGGAGACATCTCTGCGCTGGCAGAGCCGCAGGTGTGTCTAGGAAGTTGAGGGTATTGATGCGTTGATTGAGTGTGTGCTTGTTTGCATGTGCGTGTGAGTGTGTACGTGTGTGCGTGCATACTCAATCACAGAGGTACCCAGGGGTTAGCACGCCATTCCAGGCGGGATGAGCATGGGTGCTGGAGGGACAGGCATTTCTCTACAGGCGAGTGCAGTGGTTCTGGCGTTACCCCGCTACCAACCCCCCGATAATGCACCGCCTCGCCCTGCTCCAGCACACCTGCGTGCATGCAGCTGCCGCGATCAACCTTTGCTGTCTCCTGCCCCTTCCTCAATCACCCGCTGCGCAGGTGGTGGATGTGCTGATCAAGCTCAGGGGCGCGTAATGGGCCCTGCGTTCACACCCTGCCTCCGCCCTGGCAGCTTGTCCCAAAGAACGTCACGCCGCGAAACCCCTTGGAGGGGCTGAGGGGCAACCTCTGCTTGCCACGCTGATGAGCTGTACGTTCAACACCGGTCCCACGGGGCGCTGCATTGGCCGCGCCCGATCGGCAATTTTGTGCTCGGCGGTCGCACCTGCCGCGCGTGCTAAATGCGGCCTCGTGCGTCTGCTAGCGTGTGTGGGCGGCTTCGGCGCGAGTTGCGGGCGGTGTCCTGGAAGAGGTCCGTCGCACCTGCCTATGGCGCAAAGCGCCCTGGCTTATTCCAAAAATTCCGTCGCCCCGCATACGCTGGGAACACAACCCCTTTGTTGCCTGCGCCCTGCTCCCTTGGGGCGCGCAGTCTGTTGGGGTCGCAAGGCGGCGCGGCGGCTGCCTGCCTAGCACGTTGTTCTAGAAGCAGGGGCAAGGCAGCCGCTGGGCGCCTCTGTCGAGGTGCATACAAAGCTCACTTGAACGCTTGCATCGCGCGTGCACAGGAACGATTTTCTGCCCAAAGCTTTGAGGTATGCTCATTTATACGTGCAATCGGGCCTAACAGGCTTGAGGGTGGCTCCGGCGCCCTTACCATGGGTCGCTGCTGCAGCTATCCCAGGTCGGTCACGCGTTTCAACGCGCGCGGCACAGTTTTGAGCACCGCGGACTGATACCTACGATCAACTCGTCCGGCGTCATGGCCGCCTGTGTGTGATCGCGACGCCGCCCCCTCCCCCGGTCGCTGCAGGCCTCTGGGCTGTGCAGGCAAGCTGGTCTCGCACCATTTCCCTGACCCATTGCCAGTGTCTTTGTGCCTGTGTGCGACGCTGCCCCACCCGCCTGGCCCCCAAAATGCAACAGACCCTCGTCGGACGCTTTGCCACCTCGCCTGCGGACGCGCCTGGGCCACTTGTACACTCACCCACAATCTTTGCAGGCGCCCACCACATCATCGTCAGTGTGCTCCCGGGTGGCTGGGGTTGACGTTGTTGTGGACGTCGTGCGTATATTCCCACTTGTGGTCCAGGAAGCCCAGCCACTCCGTTGGCCCCATGCGTTCTCCCCAGGATCAGCATGGGCTGCCTCCTCACAGTGCACCTGTCGTCACCCAACTCGTCGCCCGCCTTGTAAACTTCTGCCCTGTAGGCATCCCAATCTGGTGTACCCCATGGCACGTGTGGAAACGGCCACAAAAGGGTCGCTTGACGTGCAGTATTGTTAAAGCAGCAGCAACGCCGCATGTGGACTGGGTCCACCTGGTCAAACCAGTCAACAAGCAACAGGATGCACAAAGGGGCACGTTGGCACGCGAGCCATGGCAGTGCGCTGAACAACGCAGCGATGCAGAACGCCAGCCACCGGCGACTCTGCCGAGGCCGCGTTGAGCACAACAGTGGCTGAAAACACTCCCCTGACAGGAACCCTCGGCCGCTGCCTGCTGCAAACCCCTGCTGTTCTCTCCTTGTTCTAATGCACTCGACCATCAACCCTACGCTGCACTTCCATAAACTAGGCGCAACCACTTGTAGTGCAACAACCTTGCAGCGGGGGACTAGCCCAGACGGGTTCCAAGGCCCTCGTCGTCATCCAAGCCGAACAGCGGCTGCATCGGACCAGGCGGCGCCTCTCGTGACGGACGAAGCTGCTGCTGCAGCTGTTGCTGCTGCTCCTGCTGCTGCTGCTGTTGCCACTGCTGCTGTGGCTGCTGTGGCTGTTCTGGGTGTTGTGCCTGCTGCTGCTGCTGCTGCTGCTGCTGCTGCTGTGGCTGCTGCTGCTGCTGCGGTTGCTGCCGCTGGTGCTCGTTCACCCCTGCGGACTCTGAATCCACTAGAGCGGCCTCCACTTCTCCGCTCCCCCGCTGTGAGCCTTGCCGCTCTGGCGACGCCAGCCGCCCGGCCCCGGCCCCACCGCTCCCGCCGCCCCCCTCCACTCCGGCGGCAAGGCGCCCCTCCCCGTGCAGGGCGGCCAGCACCAGCACGAACAGTGCCTCTCTCAGCGCATCCCTCACGCGCGCCAGGGCAACCTCCCCCTCGACCTCGATCCTCTCTGCAAGCTCAGCCGCGCGCGGCAGCGCGTGTGCGCTCCTCGCTCGCGCTCGGCCCGCGGCCGCGAGGCCGTCGCCGGCGGCGTCGACGGCAGGGAGGGCGGCGTCGCAGAGGGGTGCGGAGAAGGCTGTGGTGACGGTCCGCAGGTCCTGCGCCATGCGCAGGGCTTGGCGGCGCAGGAGCCACGCGACGGCGACGCTGTCGGCAGGCCATTGGACGCCGTCGTCCAGCGGCTTGCCAAGCCTGGGTGCATGATTGGGTGGGGGCGTGTGAGGGTATGTGTGTGTGTATGTGTGAGAGGGTGCGTCAGCGAGTGTGTGTGTGTGTGTGTGTGTGTGTGTGTTGGCAGGCGCCTAAAGGGTGGTGCTCTCGAAGTGCACATTGACAGTGCCTGGACGCCGTCCATCCTTGAGACCCGACGGCTGGTCGCAGGACCCGCACCCAAATTGGGTCCACCTCAGCTCTCCCCCAAATCGCCGCGCCCGCATCTCAACGAACATGCCCACCTGGCCGCCGCTGACAGGCTGCGCACGTCCTGCAGCAGCAGCATCACCTGGCCGCTGCACACCTCCCCCAGCGCGCGCTCCGCCGCCGCGCGCCAAGCGGCGTACCACGCGGGCTCACCCATTTCCCCCGTGTCCCCCGCCTGCTGCTGCTGCTGCTGCTGCTGCTGCTGATTACCAGGGGCGGCATCTTGGCCCTGCGGCTGCGCCCCCTCCCCTGCGTCCCGCCGCGCCGCCTCGTCCGCGGCCGCCACGTTGGCCGCCGCCGCCAAATCCTCTCGCATCTCATCCGCATTCCGCCCAGCCTTGGCCACCAACGCCGCCACCGGACCATACGCATAGCCCCACCCCTCCCGCTCCCAGCCGTGCCCCCGCTGCTCCGCGCCCGCAGCCGATCCTCCGCCGTCCCACGCGTCCCCGCCGCCGTTGTCTACCGCTGACGCATCGCCCGGCAGCGGCGTCAAAATATCAAAGATCGGCGCGAGCTCTGAAAGCGTCTCGTCCATTTTGGCGGCTTGCCGCGGCCCGAGGGCGGCGCGGGCGCGGTTGAGGACGCGGGAGCATTCGTTGGAGAGGTCACACCTGTTGGGTTTGTTGTGTGTATGTGTGATTTTGGGGGGCGAAGGCGCTGGGTGAGTGTGTCTGGGAGGGGGAGGCGGAGAGCGCACGATGTGTGTGTGTGTGTGTGTGTGTGTGTGTGTGTGTGGGTTCGGCAGAAGAGGGGAAGGAGGTGAGGTGGTGCCATCTCCGTAGGCGGTGTCGCCTCATGCGGGCGACACAGTTGTGGCGCTCGGTCACCGCAGCTGGGGCGGAGTGGACCGCCCGGGCTGCCTGGACTTCTTCGGCCCTGTCACGGGCGCACGCAAGGCTGCTCCTGTTGTGTCACCCACTTCATGAGCCCCCCATACACGCGCACACGCGAGCCCGCGAACGTGCGCACACACACACACGCGAGCACACATACACACACATGCAGAAACACACCCACGCACACACTCGCGCAAGGACACCGCGCAGGAAACACCCACAGCTCATCCAGAGCCTCAGCGCCCCCAAACAGGTCAAAGCTTGACGCAAAGCCGCCGCCCCCGGCCTCCAGCGTTGCAGCGCCGCCTGAGAAACCGGCCGCCCGGTGCTGCTGGTGGCCGCGGCCGCCAGCGCCGCCGCGCGGGCGGCGGTGGTTTGGGCGGCGGTGCTCGCCTGAGAGGGGCTCGAGGGCCTCCATGACCCCGCGGCCGACAGTCTGAGGAATGGTAGTTTGAAGCGTGTGAGCAATGATTTGGGGGTTTTACTTGGATTCAATGATATCAACATGAACCGAGGGACAGGATTTAGGGGGGCAAGGGTAGGGAGGTGTCCGCAGGAGAGGGGAAGATTTAGCGTGCGTGCGCAGGTATGCCAGTATTGCTGGGCTGGGATGCTGCAAGGCCAGGTTACGAGCAGTCCACATACAACTAGGAGCGCTTGGAAGACAGCAGCGCTTGTGGTCTCCGAAAACCCTGAAACGCCACCTACACCCACACCCAATTACATACGAGCACACACTCTCTCTCTGTTTGTCAACACAGAAGTGTCAACACAGAAACATACACACACACACACACACACACACACACACACACACACACGCGAGCGCGCACACACACACACACAGAAACACACACACACAAAGAAACACACACACACACACACAAAGAACACACACACACACACACAAAGAAACACACACACACACACAAAGAAACACACACACACACACGGAAACACACACACAAACAGAAACACGCACGCACATACACACAGAAACACACACACATAGCGTCATGCACACACGCGCGCACCTCCAGCCCGCGCTCCAAGCTCAGCCCCAGCTGCTCCGCAGCGCTGCGCAGCCGCACCAGCGGCGCGGCTGCGGGCGCCCCGCCGCCGCCGGCGCCGCCGCTGCCGCCGCCGTTGCCCTCCCCATCGCGCACCAGGCCCGCCTTGGCAGTTTCTACCTGCCAGTCCACCCGCACGGTTTGGATGAGAAGTGCAGGTCACCCTGAACATGAACAGGCACGACGCCCGCTCCACCATGGCTCGACAGCCAGTTGTCAAAATGTCCCTCCAAGGCGGATACGAAACCTCTCCCCAGTGGCCAACCTGCCGGACTCCCCGGCGCACACACGCCGCGGATGCAGCGAGAGCAGCTCATGCGTCTGGGTGGGGCTGGGCTTCGCGGCCGGCTCTGCTGCCCTGTGGTGCCCAACCCGGCAGCGCATGCGGCCTCATTCCCTTGGGCCCACCTGGCTGGAGACCTGCCGCGCCAGCGCCCCCACGCCGCCCCAAAGACTGCCGAGGGCCTTGGCCGCCCCCGCCGCCAACTGCTCCACACCGTCATCAATCGCCTGAATGGTTTTTTGGGGGAGGCGCGAGAATCGGCATGGCAATGTTGATGCCGATCGGAGGCGGGGCGGGTGGTGAGCCAGCCGCCAACCCTGACGCCCCTCGTGCTGCCCCGCGATTTCCAGCCTGCTCTTGGTGGGAGGTCGGCCAGGAAGCCGGATCGCATACAAATCAAGCCGCCCACTCGCCCAGCCGCCCATCCAGCTGCCCACATCTTCCCGCCTCGCTCCGCTGTCTGCCCTGCCAAACAAACTTGTCTCACCTTGAGCCCGGCAGACAAGGACCTGTCCTGCCCCTGCAACTTCCCGAC